CAGAGAATCGAAACATGGCGCCTTTAATGAGCCCAGAGTGATGATGTCACTGATCAATTATCATCAGAAGAAATCCAAGAGAATAGAAGCTGGAAAATACATAAAGAACGACATGAGAAAACATTAATCCAACTCCCTTTGCTCCAAAAGCTGGAAGTGGACTACAGCGCAGAGCATTCTGGGTAAATACAACCGACGCTAATAGGCTAGCCTAGTGCTAGCAGGACAAATGGTTAGTTTACAACGACCGACAACCGACCGACCTACTGACAACCGCTGCTCCATAAAAAATAACCTTTACTAAATACAACTAAAGAAAGTAATTCATCTGTTTGCTATTACATTCATATTTTTACATTGTCAGGGACAAAATGGAGGTTCAGTTTAGTTATTTATTAAAGCTACAGTTCAAACTATTTAACAAACTAAATACTAACTAAAAATATTACACATGACATACATAGTTTAAAACTTAATATTTAGTTTGAAACTGGATATTTAGGCAAGATAAATATGATCACTTCAGGTCAACAATTCAGATTTAGTAGTCGGATCGAACCCAACTTTTATTTTGATAGTCCATTTCCTCTTATTTCATTTAATTAATTAAACATTTCATTTATAAATTCAATTTTATTTAGTTCAGAAGTAAATATCTGGTTTGGAGACAAATTATTAGTTTGCTGCTAAATATTAATGAAGGACATTTGTTACTTGATATTAGGTTTGGAGATAAAAATAAACAGTTTGCTAGCTAAAGTTTCAGCTTCAAATGAAAAGCTTAGCATGCTAACTGCATATTTAAGTTGGAGCTAGATGTTTCTTTTAGGATATGGTGACATTTATAATTGAATAATGTGATAAAAAGTAGAGTAGCTGTGGCTGTGAAGATGAATGAGAATGTCCTGGAATCCCCTTGAATCTCCTGGAATCTCCTGGAATCTGCAGTGAAGACGGGTGAAGTCCCGTCAGCCTGGTCTGCTCGGCGTGGTGTGAGAGCGAGGCGGCGGACAGCCCCCTCCAGGTGCTAACGACGTTACGGCGGCGCAGCGTTTCCTGTGAGAACGCGTCGAGCAGACAAGGCCGCCATTCATGCCGCTGGTGTCGGATGGAAGCGCGTCGGGTCAGACGGGCCTCATGCTGTCAGCGGGTCACTCAGAGGAAAGCCAAATTCAGCCGCCTTCTCGTCTCATCCAGACTGAAGCTGCAATGATTCAATTCTGGAGACTGTGAGGTAAAAACGGCCTGATCTAATTAGCGCCTCATCTTCCTCATCTTCCTCATCTTCCTCATCTGTGAACGCAGCAGAAACCGTCTGTTCTCACTGCTGCTGCAGGCCGAGGTCAGAGGTCACGCCTGAAGGGGGGTAAACAGCAGATCCGGTTCTTTGACGAGACGAATGGTCCCAAAGACCAGGAAACGTTGACAGTGACGTCCAAACACCTGAAGCCTCAGAAATGTCTCATCAGTCACAACATGAACCAGTTGAGGCTGGAAATGTTCTCCGATGATGTCATGCGTCGCCGTGGGAACGTGGCCTCACTGCTGAAGCGTTTCCGGGTTTTTCTGCTTCCACAAACGAACTCTGACCCGGTCGCTGCTCCGGTCGCTGCTCCGGTTCCGACCGGCGCCTCGGTTCTGCTAACGAGGCGTCGAGCTGCTGCTGGGCCGACGTCAGGACGCCGGGCGAAACAGGAAGTCCTGCTCCGCCGCCGGCCGGACTCTTTCCATCACTGAAACAACCAGAACATGAAAAACTTAACGATGCATAATTTGTTTCATTTTGGCTGAAACCGCCTCACTGCTGCCCCCTGCAGGCTGAACCTGAACAGGTCAGGAATCGCTTCCTTCTGTTTGCAGATGATAACCTGCTGTTCCCATAAAAATGTCCACTGTACAATGATTTTCAGAGGCCTTTTGATTTAAAATACACAGAATTTAAAACATTTATGTAAAATAATAAACTGCTGGTTGATCAGAAAGTCCCAGATCCATCCAGTGGTTCCAGTCGGTTCTCTGGATTATTCTCTCTGATTCAGGCCATAACTCAGATCACTGAAAAACACCAAATCTCATTTTGGGTTAGGGTTAGGATTAACTAAACAAACAAATCAGTTTGTTTAGTTCAGAAGAAAATATATTAATTCACCTGAAATGAAACAAAACTATCATACAGATCAGCGAATAGGAGCTTCTTTACAGCCGATAATTTATCAGTAATGATGAGAACCTCATAACTTCATCATCAGATTGATTTAAACAAGTTTCTGGATGTTGATGAAATCTGAGTTTTATTCTACTTCATGTTTACACAAACAGAAAAACTCAGCAGGATTCAATGGTTTTAGTTAAGCTAACAGACGAAGCGCTAGTTAGCGCGGTTAGCTCATGCAGACCCGATCGGCCCAGTTCTGGTTCTGAGAAGCTTTGGGAGTAAGATTTAATTAAGTTAAATGCTGAAGCTGAAGAATTTGACTTAAAAAAATAAAACCAAAATCAGAAACAGTTTCAGTCCAAAACAGGTTTTTTTTTCTTGCCAAAGTTTTTGCAGAAAATTATTGTCAGTTTTAAAGTTTTTAATATCTTATTAAAGACGCGAGACGGAAGCCAGGTGTTATGCAACGTTAGCGTTAGCTGCTACATGTTAGGTCCTATTTTAGGCTAGCATAGCCTCTCTGACATGCTAACGGCTTTTAGCTCAACTTGAACCATCAGATTGTTTCCGTTGTCAAATCAGAAACGAAGGTAGCTGTGCATCAGACTGACGGTCCGACCAGAAACGTGTCAACACAAAGGTTCCACCCTAAAAACTGATTATATTCTAATGAAATCCAAATTAACTTGTTACATTTTAAATCTGCTGCTTTTTTCTTGAAACTGAACTCAGAAACATAAAAGTGATAAATGTTCAACTCCAGATTAAAATCTGGATTTCCTCAGCAGCTGAACCAGAATCATCCCCATCATGGCTGATCTCCAGGTAAGCAGCTCCTGTCGGAGCCTTCATCATCAGCACCATCATCAGCCCATAATGGATGGCGGCGCCGCTCGCCCCGCATGCAGGAAAGGTTTAATTAAATCACAGTCCAATCATAATCCATGTTGTTAATTAAACTGGATAATTTATAAGTACAAAAGAGGGTATTTATTAGCTGCTGGTGGCAGCGCGGCGGCGTCCTGGTGCACGGCGGCCCACGCACACAGCCGCTGCCTCCAACCTTTTACTATTGATGCCTGGCCATGATTGATAATGAGACGGAGAGCGCCGCACTATTTGTCTAATGGCGGTGCAATTAAAGGCCTTGTAAATGACCCGCGCCTCGTTTCATCCTAATCTATGGAATTTTGATTGAATTTGTCGGCGCTAATTGAAAAATACTGCTATTTAATGTCTGCACTGATCAGGCTCCGTAATGACCCCGGGGGGGCGGGCCGCTCAGGCGTGTCCTTGACTCGCTGCTCGGGGTCAGAGGTCACGTGTCCCCTCTGATGCGTTTTGACGCCGCTGGCATTGATGAGCTGCAGCTGAATTGATGAGGCGGTCGTTCCTCCGTCAGCACGCAGGAGCAAACACTGGGAGGTACAGCGCCGCGGAAACGGGGCGCCGCGGCCGCGGGCGCCACGGAAACGGGGCGCCGCGGTGTGAGACGAAGGACGGATAATCGGCAGAGTTCGCGGCCGGTCCGACCCGATTCCATCTGCAAACACAAAGCTGGAGACGACGAGGCGTCTTGCACTTTAGCTTCTTCTCATTAATGGTAGAAATGAGCTACAATAAGTAAAGTATCAATATTCCAGGATTGATTATATTGATCAGGTATTAGAGGAAGTCCTATTTCAGAATCAATCTCCAGAGAGATAAATACAAACGTCTGGGTTCTTATTTAAATATCATTTGATCAAAGATGTTTTGATCCATTTGCTGCTAAATTACATCAAAGGTTTTCAAAGTGTTGAAGTGATGCAGCCTCCCACCTGCAGGGGGCAGCGTGTCTTCAGATGCCTCAGTCTGGCTGATTCCAGTTCATAGCTAATAAAAAGTCACATTAAACGCAAACATTGCAAAATTTACTGCAAATGTTTCTAAATGATTTCCACTAAATCAGATTTTATCAGAAAGAAAAGCAGTGAAAGTAAAAGGGATCAAATGAAGGTTGTTTTTATTCCAGTCAGTCTCAGCAGTGTGTCTGCTGCTGCATTTCAACGCAGAGATATTTACCAGCATTAGTTTGTTCATGGATTGTGGAACATGTTTATGCGTCCAAATAAAAATCAGATTTTCTGTTTCACAGCTTTAAAAATCAAACTCATAGAAAACTTTCCCAAACGTCTCACCTGCTTTCTCATGAGGAGGTTTTCAAATACGGAATCCCAAAACGTCACTCAATCAATTCAAAGTCATGAAAGTGGAAACAGATTTCAGTTTGGATTCATGGTGGATCTGAAACAGATTCCGATCCGGATCGTCCTGCTGCAGCAACAAATCATCTGTTTCTAACGCTCAACTTTAGAATCAACCTCAACGGAGAGCGACCCGACCACGGCCGCTCATCTGCTGGTTCTGGTTTCTAACGGGTCCAGAGAATGTTTATCAGTGAAATAAACTTTGATTTGATTGATTATTGATCACATGGACAGCATGATGATCAGGTCAGAGAAATAAAACTACAGTTTTTGTGTCGGTTTTAAAGTCTCTAAAGTCTCAGACAACATGAAAGAAATGTGGAGGAAAAAAACTGAATTTCTCTAGTTTTGGCCCTAATCTCCCTCCATACTCCAGTTTCCTCCATCGGAACCAGAACTGGAAACATTTTCCGATGAAGTGAAAGTGTCTCTTTCAGCCCCACGCTGAGTGGATCCGGATCGTGCACGAGCTCCGGCTCGTCACCCGACATCCGCCAATCAGAGGCGCAGGGAGGCGGCGTCCTGGCGCTAAAGGCAGCGCAATTAACCAGAGGGGAGCGCAATTTAAATCCTAAACAGTTGCGGAGGCGCAGCGGCAGGAAACACACAGGATTCACTCCGGCTGCCGAAGCGGGTCAGAGGAGCGCAGTCCAGAACCTCGGGTCCAGAACCTCGGGTCCAGAACCTCGGGTCCAGAACCTCGGGTCCAGAACCTCGGGTCCAGAACCTCGGGTCATCTCGTCCTCCCAGTTTGTGCTTTTCTTCCTGGAAGCGGCGCATCTCCTGCGGGTTGAGGGAGGAATGCTGGTCTGTGAGCGGGTCGCCGCCGCCCTCATCTCCCGGTGACTTCCGGCGGGGCTCCGAGCCTCCGCCGCCCTCCGGCCCGCCGCCCTGCGCGGCTCTCCCCCGGCCTCCCTCGGCTCCAGCGGCCGGTCTTATGAGCGCGGCGTTCGGTCCGTCCTTCATGGTGATGCAGCGGCCACTCGGAAGCACCACCGCCTTCAGCATCGACCCTGATCGGCGGGCCCCCGCAGCCCAGCCCGGGACACTTCGTCTACACCGGGTACCCGATGTTCATGCCCTACCGCTCCGTGGTGCTGCAGCCGCCGCCGCCGCCGCCGCCGCCGGCCCTGCAGCAGGCGCTGCCCGGCGGACACCACCCGCAGATTCCCGGGCTGCAGAGCGGCTTCTGCTCCAGCCTGGCGCAGGGTTTGACGCAGGGTTTGGCGCAGGGCATGGCGCTCACCTCCACCCTCATGGCCTCGCTGCCGGCGGATTCTCCCCGTCCCAGCAGCACCAGGAGGCCGCCAGGAAGTTCGGCTCGCAGGCGCTGCGGCTGGAGGCGGAGGACGGGAAGAGCTTCCTGCCCGGGAAAGAGTCCGCGCTGCCGGCCTTCCACGACGCGGACGCGCCGCTGCAGACTTCCACAGGTTGGTCCACGCGTGGGTCAAACACTGAGAATAGTTTCATCTGCTGGTTTCGAAATTAGAATAGTTGAATTTAATGACATCATTTTGTTTCACTTTAATTGAAAAAATATTTAAAACTGAAAATAAAATTAATTATGACGAAAACATTTGAATTCACTTTATTAAAAAAGGCAAATAAATAAGGCGTTTATATGAAGGTCATTATTGTTATTATAATTATATTAAATATTGCGCAGGCCGCAGTTAAAACGGATTAACTGAAAAACAATTAAATTCATTGATTTAATGAAATTTCATTTATTTATCTAATATTCATTTATTTGTTTAATCCAATTAGTTTTAAATAATCAAGAAAAAAAACATCCAGAAATTCCGGAATGTGCTGCAGAAAACCTCTGACACACACACACACACACACACACACACACACACACACACACACACACACACACACACACACACACAGAGAAGGCCGCGTGGAGACATCGGTGCGTAATTACGCGTGAAAGCGGACCGTCCCGCAGCGCGTCCCGATGCGGCCTGATGATGATGATGCCGACACCTTCATCTCCTCCTCCTCTTCCTCACCTTCACGGGGATCTTGAAATGTTTGAAATGGGGATTAAATGTTTCTCTGTGGAGCATAAATGCGTTTTCTCCTTGCGGCTCATATGAACAGATTTAATTTCCGGGTTCTGGTTCATCCCGCAGCCAGAGTTCTGTCCAAGGACGAGTCCAAGGAGGAGGACGGCGGCCGGAAGGACGAGAGTTTCTCCATGGACAGCGACCTGGACTACAGCTCGGACGACAACCTCACGGCGCTCTGCCACAAGGAAGACGCGGACGGCGGCGGAGGCCTGGACGACGCGCCGCACCTGCACGGCGCGGCGTCCGGCGGCGGCTGCGCGGCGGGCGGCGGCGCGGCGGGCGGCGGCAGCGGCAAGAACCGGCGGCGGCGCACCGCGTTCACCAGCGAGCAGCTGCTGGAGCTGGAGAAGGAGTTCCACTGCAAGAAGTACCTGTCGCTCACCGAGCGCTCCCAGATCGCGCATGCGCTCAAGCTGAGCGAGGTCCAGGTGAAGATCTGGTTCCAGAACCGGCGCGCCAAGTGGAAACGGGTCAAGGCCGGAAACGTCAACAACAAGTCCGGGGAGCCGAGCCGGAACCCCAAGATCGTGGTTCCGATCCCGGTCCACGTCAGTCGCTTCGCCATCAGGAGTCAGCACCAGCAGATGGAGCAGGCCCGGCCCTAGGACGGTTCGGACGGGTTCTGAACCCAACCGGAACCACCAGACTCCTCTGACTTTGTTTGTTTTGACTCGTTGATCCAAATGTTTTCTGTTCACTCCGTGACTCTGATGAGACGGATCTCACCGAACCGTCCGGTTCTGTTCGGCTCTTTTTAGCGTCGGAGCCCGAGAACGTTCTCAAAGAGCCGCAGTTTTTCACCGCCAAGTGCGCGTGGAGCAGCTGACGATGTAAATACCGAGCGGAAGCTGCGCGCGCACGATGGAATGAAGCCGCGAACTTATTTATACAGTGATGTGAAAACCTGCGATTAAAGGACGCAAAGAGAGAGATGCGTTCAGTGTGACTCCTTCACACACACACACACACACACACACACACACACACACACACACACACACACACACACACACACACACACACACACACACACACACACCTGCATGATTGAAATCTAAACCTTCACTCATTATTTAGCCTCCAGTTTTAACGAGAAGAAAAACTTCGTAAAAATGAAATAAAATTCGGTTTAAAACGAGAAAAAAAATCTAAATGAAGAAACGCGGCAGGCGACATGAATTCACAGCAATTCATCCAGCAAGAATAACTGATGATAACCAGGACTAATTGACCTTCGTCCGGAGGGACGTGCTGTCGGTTATTGATCAGGTTTCATCAGCAGAACGTGAACCGAGCGGCGGCTCCAGGTGAACCGAGCGGCGGCTCCAGGTGAACCGAGCGGCGGCTCCAGGTGAACCGAGCGGCGGCTCCAGGTGAACCGCGCGGCGGCTCCAGGTGAAGGCCTGCAGCGCCGGCGCGTAACGACGCGGGTTGCCAGGTACAAACAAATCCGCCGAATAACTTCACGTAGAAAAGTGCAAACTTACTAACATCCTTCAATTTATATTCAATTCAATTATTCTAGAATTTATGAGAAGAAAAATAATTTTCTAAATAAATTTAATAATGAAGCACCAAATGTTTTAAATAAAGTTACACATTTTAAAAATCAAAACGACGATTTATTGACTAAAATATTGTTTATTTTCGGACTAAATTAGTTTAATTTTGTGTCTTTATGGAAGCAAAGATCCGGCCGAGGTTCGGCCTCCCGGATCCGAACCTCGGCCTGCGGAATCCAACATGGCGGCCGACAAACGAGACCTTCATCTTCTTTATATTCTTCATCAACCATCTGCAGCTGGAACATCCAAATATCATCTCTAGATAAATATTTCATCATTAAAATAAATATTGTTCTGACTTCATTTTCATTTCTATGATAATTTACCAATTTTAAAGTGTTTAAGCTACAATAAATACTAAATTCATAACTCTGAGCAGATGAGCAGGAAAATAAAACTAAAATATATAAATAAAACGAATTAAAGTTTCACTTTTCAGCTGAAACATTTTAAAGGAAATAAAACCTCACTTATTGTCAAATTTTATTTTACTGGCAAATCTGCACATAATGAAAATTATTTTTAAAAAATAAAAATGTACATTTAAGAAATCTTGTTTGTAAAAATGTCAGGATCATTTATGTCTCAAAAAACAGGAAATATTCCAGAATGAATAAATAAAAGTCTCATGTTGAGTTTATAAGAAGCATTTCCTGTCTTTATTGAAAAGAGACAAATTACAGTAGAAGTTTCTGCTTTAGGTAGAACTTTTCAACATTGGTACTGTACAACAAAATGTAATAATAATAATAATAATTAGAATAATTAGAACAACAGTGACAACAAGAACAGTAATGATAAAACAGGGTAAAAAGTGAATGGATTCAGGAGCAAATGTACAAGAAGGTTTTTCTGTGGGAGTTTAAATAAGATGGAGGCTGGAGGGAAGTTATTAAAGTCATTATTAAAGCCATTATTAAAGCCTAGCACAGAAACATTTCTACAGTTCATCACTGATCAGCTTTTATTATCGACACTGTAAAACAACATTTTACAGCTTTTATCTGCAGGTTTATAACGCAGCAGTCCGAAACTGAAGAGGCTCCAATGCATAACTTAAAATAAAGTCTAATTCTTTCACTTCCTTCTGTTCTTACATGGATTATTTTGCTGTTTAAACTGAATGACCCAGAAACCAGAGGAGTCACTTTCACCCAGGTTGCCTGTTCTTTTGCTGACAGACATGCATCATTAATAAATTAGTGGATGTTGCTTCATTTATTCCCAAACCCTTCAAACTCGTTATATTTAGCATGAAGGAGAAAAGTAGTGGAAGAACAAGTTACCTTTGGGAAAGGGTGCTAACGAGGCCGCTAGCTGGGAAACACTCGGCAGCTAACGGGTGCTAACGAGGCCGCTAGCTGGGAAACACTCGGCAGCTAACGGGTGCTAACGAGGCCGCTAGCTGGGAAACACTCGGCAGCTAACGGTGAAAATGAGCGACGCTGCTTTTCCAAGGCTGATTAAATGTTAAAAACAGAAACTCACCAGAATGACTAACAATGTTAGCTTTATCCCCTGGTTGCTGCTCCGTTCATTGGGGATTTAACTGGAGAACTTTTTGAACGTCGTCAGAGGGAAAACGGCTCTTCAAGGCCTCCGGCTGTTCATGGCTCCACCGCTAAAGCTGCTTTAAGGAAGCAGCGGCGCGACTCGGCTGTTTCGACACTATTCGCTGAATTCAGATGTTTATGATTTATTCTATAAATTTAGTCAAATGTCCAATATGACGTTAAAGGTCCAAACGTGTAAATATGAATGAGAGTTCCACGGAACTGATTTAATTAAGCTAGCCAGCAGCTTTTATCAGTTAGCATGTTAAGCTAACAGGCTAATCAGTAGCTACGTCTCACACGGTGCTTTATTCTCCAATTTACAACATTTTGTATTGTGTGAGCGTAAACGGTGAAATATAAATCTTCTTAACAGGGACAATGACTCAGCAGCTTTTCA